CATTTTATTTCGTATTTTTAAATCATCTTTTTATTTTTGACTATCTGTAAATTTAGTTTCCTGCTCTTAATTGTGAATGCATACTTGATGGTTTTAAATGCTCCTGAAATTAAGTGCTGCTTGACGAGCCTATATTGTGTATGTATGTGACGTCACTGAAGGCCTAAGGTTGAAATGCACGGCCCGCCACTGGTTGTGCCTTTGTACAATCTGTGGGATCAGTTGCAATGCATATTTGTGAATGATAAAAGTAAATTGCACATTTGTCTAAGGAAATCTAAGGGGCTTCATGAAATGTTTTGTAAAAGATATGTTCATTAAATTTCAAAATTTTCCTAATGTTCTTGTGCTTCTTCAGACCTAAACAAAGGAAAGACATATTTTTTGGTTATTTATAGCAGAGTATTGTATTATTTTAATGGTCTGGCCCACTTGACATCTACAGAGGCCGTATGTGGCCCACAATGTGAAATGAGTTTGACACCCGTTTTATGCTTTACCTCACTGTAGAAGTACACATTATTATTAGTAGCAATAACTGTGCTAATAGCAGTAGTAAAATAGTAGTAGTAATAATATAACATTCCTGCGTGCCGAATTAAACTGCAGTTTACTCCTTTGCATTTGCTAATCAATATTTCACTGTAATGACAATGACGTTTTTACTAATATAATATGCACACAATAAACAAAAACATTTTGTGTTGTGCATGCAGAGTAGATAGTGCGTATTTGTTTTTCATTTAAATGATAATAATTGAATTATTTAATGTTTTACTTTATATGTAAAATTAGGTGACATGTTATTTAATCAATTAAACAACGGTTTGAGATTTCTTTTGTACGCATGTCGGAAACAATGGCCAATGGAGAGGGCGTCAATCCCGATTTGGTTTTCATCACGGAAGTGACGAAGTCGAGAAAAGGAAGAGCTAGAGTACACAACAAAGATGGCGGCGGCCGCTGAACAGGCAAAGAAAGGCCCACACGTGGGGAAAACGAAAAAGGTAATCCATTATACAGACAATAACACACGATTGCAGTCGTGTGAGTCGTTATCGGTTACTGCCGGCCTCGACAAAACGGAAAACACGATGACTTATAAAGAAGAGGCATCGAGTGACATTGAGCTACTTTATCAACGCGTGCTAACAGAGTTGTTCTCACTCGAGTTTTAAAATGCCCGCTGATAATCTTAGGAGTATGGATGTCTTCTTTCTGACAGCCTCCAGCTCGTTACTGGCACGAGAAGAAAGATGAAAGCGACGGTGGAATACAGGCTGTTGATTCACAGCAGCAGATGCCTCAAAAAACGTCAGCAAAGAAGAGGATGAAAAAAAACGACCATGGACAAGAAAAACGCTTTAAATCTGGGGTAAGACACATTTAATTTTTTAAGCAATTGAAGTTGGCTCAAGTGCTTCCTTTATGTTACAACCAGAGCAATTTTTTCACCAATATGCTCACCAAGCACCACCATCCTCATCAATACTACACCAGTACAGAAAAAAACATCTCCCAAAAAGACAATTAAATATTATTGGAAGCCACTGTAACATTATGCATGTTTTCAACATTAGCACTGGACTTAACTCTTCAAAATTAAATTGAATTAAAAACTTTTTCCTAAATTATGCCCTGAATAACATGTATTGCACTGGGTCTTCTGAATTGTAGGAATCTCATCTCAAGTTTAAATATCTGTATAAGGTAGAACAGAATAATGATAATAATAAAAAATTTTGGATGTAGAGTAACATTCACACAGTTATAGGTCTAACACAATGAGACAGTCCATATTTGTTTGACAGTGTCAGGTTTATCCTCACTTCACATAAAATGGAAAGAACAGTTTTTCAAGTTTGGTGCTCCTATCATTATTCTGACGTTTATGAAAAGCAAAGACATGACTGATGAGGAACAATTATTAATATACAGATACTCTCTGCAAAAAAAATAAAAATAATAATCCCTCAATGATCAATAACTAATCCAACCAAGGAATTTGTACACTGCACTTGAGGTTTGTCTGACCCAATTATTGGCACTCCCCCAGAAACAAGATGCTTTCCCAGGACCTGCTTCTATTCCCGAAGCCACGCTGCAGAAGTTTACAAGGAAAGGGAAAACGAAAGAGGAGGTCAGCAATTTCCGTTTGGTATTTAAATTGTGCTGCTGGCTAAAGCAGGGTTGTTTTTTTTTGTATTTTTTTGTTTTGTTTTGTTTTTTTTCAGGTCAGCAAGCACCACTTAAAGCTGAAAGAATCCATTGCTCGTTCAGATGAAGCCTCAGAAATGGCCCAAAAACAAGCTGCCCGGTTTGACCTTCTCCTCCCAGAAGAAGCAGGGTAAAATAATCATGGCTTGACGAGGTTGTCTGAAAATGTCACACTGTTGTAACTTTATTTATGAACTTCCTCAGGTTTCTAGAAGGAGACGAAAATGAGGACACATGTACTATCTCACAGCAAGATATCGCAGATGCTGTGGATATAACGTCTGGGACCAAGGTGAGCAATCTTGTCTATTAGTCTTGGCCAGTTGTTCACTCTTGTAATTAGGCAAGGGCCGATTACCGCTCTGATGGTTTATCGTGGTTGAAATAGGTACAGAAACAGATTTTATTATTACAGTTGACCCATTTTTTTTTTATCTACTTGGTCCTCAGTATTTTGACCTGAATCTGTCTCAATTTGGACCATACCAACTGGATTACAGCAAAACCGGACGGTCAGTAGCCCACTTTCTTCTCCCAACTTGAATTGTGTTTGTGTTACTGATTAAGAGTGTTAATTATCAAAGCAGTTTCTCAGAATAGTCCATTCAGATCAATATCATACATGTAATCAATGTCTTTACTTCAACTTCTTTTCTCATCTTTCAACGTTTCCAGTCAGAATGTACCGATTCAAGCAGTAAAACTAAATAAATAAATATGTCTGTTAAATTTAGATTGCAATATAGTGGATTAATCATTTTGGGGATAGTATGTATGAATAGTTTTATTTGGTGCTTAACTCATTCACTCCGAAAGACGTTTTTATATGTCTTTTCAGACTTGGTTTAGAATTGGCTGGTACTGAATAAGTTTTAATTGTTTGCGTCATTGTTTTGATTTAGTCACCTGCTGCTTGGTGGGAGGAGAGGGGCCATGTTGTGTGTTGACTGGCAATCCAAACAGTTGATGTGTGAAATAAATGTGATGGAGTCCATTCGTGTTGTTCGGTAAGCCTCAAAAGCACGCACGCACACGGACACACACACACACACACACACAGATTACGAAGAATATATGCCTTTGCGTATTGCTCAAGCATATTTCTGTGTATGTTTCTGCGTCATTTGTGATGTTGTATACTGCAACATCTATGATATTCTTTAGCCTCTCTATAATGTTTTGTGATTTGTCTTAGCATTGAGCTAGTAGGTGTTTGCAAGACGAAGCTATGTGTTTGCTTACATTCATGAAGTGTAACTGTCTTTATTTTGTGCTAGTTTTATTGCACTACTGTTGGGCTGGTAGTGTCTGTAAACAACTTGAAGCGAGCACTCGACTCTTTTTAAGAACTGTTGACTGTTTGTCCAATTTGACACCACACGCTCAGGCAAGAAGGCTGGCAAAATGGTCGCGAGTGTCATCACATCCTACCAGTTTTATGAGTAAAGAATGAATTAAGTTGCTATTGTTCAATTTATGATGCACTCAAAACAAGTGTGCACATTTCAGATGGCTTCACACTGAGACCATGTTTGCAGTGGCTCAGAAGAAGTGGCTGTTCATCTATGACTCAAATGGAATTGAACTTCACTGCATCCGCAAGTTCAACGATGTCCTTCGCATGCAGTTTCTGCCCTACCACTTTTTGTTGGCCACCGCTGTAAGTTTATAATTTGTTAAATGTTTGTGTCAGAAATATCAACACAATAACTACAATTTACACTATTAACTCTTTGGACACACATTTTAATTATGTCATCGTTAGCCCACGCAGTACCGGTGCCTTGACTTACAAGTAGTTAGCTTCGTTCCGTGACCACGCCTCCCCCTTTCTCTCTGTGATCTACAAGGATATGTTAAGTGTCCTGAAAGGCACTATATACATCTAATGTATTATTATTATTATTGTGTTAAATCACTCATGTCATATTGTCTCTCCCCATTGAAATGAACAGAAATGGCATCAATCTGTTCCAGCACCCCAAAAAAACACAAACAGATATTTTTCGTAACAATATTGTATACACATTGGAATGGGCATAGTAAGTGAACATTTTAGCCATCAAATAAAGCTGCCTTTGTCATTCTTGGTATTTGCCATTTGCCATAATTCACCCTAACAAATGTAATTATTCACCCTGAATGAGGACAAATGATGCTAGACATGATAGGAGGGAAGTAGCATGATAAAAACGTATCTGTCGTGTTTGCGACATATATCGCAAAAATCTCCCAACTCTAATCGGAGGGCCAAATCGTTTTTTTTTAATTTCTTTTAAGTGTCGCCAGACATGATTTTTACAGACTGCGGCTGTGCCTGAGGTATATCTCTTGCAATAAACCGGAGGAGTTGACTGGATTCTGATATTCTGCTGTTGTGCGGTTCATTTCTTCTTTTTTAGAGCATGACGGGTTTCCTGCAATATCTTGATGTATCCGTGGGAAAAGAGG